GTCCAACTTCGTCATCCACAAGAGGAAAAAAGTTATGTTTATAAAGAGAAAAAACACAGAGAGAGATAAGAAAGAGAGATTCATTGCAATGGAAACAGCAAAGCGTAGAACGATGGCATCAATCGTCTCCAAGCTAAGCTCCGTCTCCGAGCAAACCAGAGCCGCCGCTTTAGCTGAGCTTAGACTCATCTCCAAACAAGATCCAGATAGCCGTCTAATCATCGCCGACGCCGGAGCAATCCCTTACCTCGCCGAGACTCTCTACTCTTCTTCTCACTCTTCTCAGGAAAACGCCGCAGCGACTCTCCTGAACCTCTCAATCACATCTCGCGAATCCCTAATGTCCTCTCGTGGTCTACTCGACGCGCTTTCTCACGCGCTTCGTCACCACGACACCACCACTTCCGCCGCCGCCGTACAATCCTCCGCCGCAACGATTTACAGTCTCCTCATCGCCGAAGAATCTTACCGACCTATCATCGGATCTAAACGAGATATCATCTTCTCCCTCATTCACATCATTAGGTATCCAGATTCGCATCCCAGATCGATCAAAGACTCGCTCAAGGCGCTCTTCTCCATCGCTCTGTATCCGATGAACAGATCGACGATGATTTCCCTCGGCGCGATTCCGGCACTCTTCTCGCTTATCGTGAAGGACTCACGGTGCGGGATCGTGGAGGACGCGACGGCTGTTATGGCGCAAGTCGCTGGATGCGAGGAGAGCGAAGATGGTATGAGGAGGGTTTCAGGAGCTAGTGTTCTCGCGGATCTGTTAGATCCTTGCACTGGCTCGAGCCTACGGATCAAGGAAAACGCCGTTGGTGCGCTTTTGAATCTGGCGAGATGCGGAAGCGACGAAGCGAGGTCGGAAGTTACGACGGCGGTTGCGTCTGGTGCGGATGAAGGAGCTATGGAAGGGATTGTGTACGTGGCGGAGAACGGAACTGTGAAAGGAAGGAAGAAAGCGATTGATCTGTTGAAGCTCGTTGTAGCCGGAAATGGCGGTGGCGATTCACGGTTTGATTATCTCATCAATGAAAATCCAAATAGTAGTAGTAGAAGTATCTGATTGCACAAAAATCTCTCTGTTTTTGATTGTTTGTTTTGCTACAAAATCCATTTCTTCATTCAAAACACTTCATAATATATAATGTATATGTAATTTCATTGTACACTTTTGAACATATTTTGGTTACTAGAAATGAATATTTACAAATCAATTTTTGTTACATGTTTTCATCAAACGTTGAGTTGAAGAATTGGTTTATACAGGTTTTGTTCTTCCCCGAGCAACAGTGCGCGCAGAATAGAGTCGCAAATGCCATCGTAGTGCACGATTAGATGTCCGCCTTGAGGGATTTCGTGGTAGTTGATCAAAGGTTGCTTCTGGAGAATGCATCTTTGAAGTTGAAATGGAACTACTTTGTCTTCTTTACCATGCCAGATGTGAACAGAGCTTTCTTGGCTAATGCTTAGATCCGCTGGTTCGAAGTCCCATTGCCCGAAACAAGCCACAAAATCGCCCCTTAGAGTATCGAAAACCTCTCTTTCCTGTAGTTTATCCTGTAAGATAGAGATAATAGATATGTCACAACTAATGATCATCACTACAAATTGGCGATACAAAAAACTAGGAATAACCTTAGTAAACATGGGAAAGCCGGTGATTCGCTTGAGCACTTCCATGTCGAGGCTGTTGAAGTAGACCGGATTGCTTTCAAGAACCGAACTCGTTGATGGGAAGACCTTTTGAATAACCCACCAATGTAACAGTCCAGGTGCAAATTTAGATATCCTCAAACACCATTTGAGAATACCTCTCCTGTAATCTTTCTTTATAAGCTTCTTAGGAAGCGAGGGCCAACGATAATTCACAACCGGAGCAACAAAAGCCACGCCCGATAGTCTGCAAAGAAGACAGAACACTCAAATAGTTACGTAAACTGTTCACAACGGATATCCTTTTGGGTTTGAGGAATGCTTAACTTGCCTGTGAGGTATGTGTTTAAGGCAACCCCAAGTAGGGTAAGATCCCAAGGAGATTCCAATAAGGTAAAACTTAGGTCCTATCTCCAACTGATCTGCAAGTTCTGCTATGTCATCAACTTCGCTTTCCAAAGAACGCTTGGTGTTTGAATCCGATTCTCCATATCCAGAACGGTCGTAGAACAGAAAATACACACCAAGCTCTTCTATCAGCTCCTGAAAAACTAAATTCAAGTGAGATTTATTTTCTTCTTGGTTTTTTTTCAAGGATCACAAAGAAAGAATAAAATAGAGCTTATCAAACATTCAGACAAAATCCAAAGAGCATTTTTGTACTTTTGAGGCAGAGAAGTTCATATCTTTAGAGCTTCCAAAGCCATGAACAAGAATGATCTTGTATTTGGCTTCTTCCTTTGGAACTCCATTTTCTCTATAAGCTAAGAATCTCCCATCTCGAAGCTTAACTCTATTTGAATTTTCCGAAGAATCCTCCATCAACCCTGATAAAAAGTCACTACAAGAAGAGACGGATTTTAGCCGTAAGGAAAATTTGTGACTGATTTGCAATACTTTTTTAAGCACACAAAGATGAATCTTGGTATGAAAGTGGCAAAACCAAGAAGGAGGAGGAAATAATTTGCAATCTGGGAGGAACACAAAACGGTTTGAATGGTCAAAAGGTTTGATATTTTATGTGCACAAGATGATGATGATGATCTTTTTAATAAAGAATATGTTTACTTGAAGAAATAGCAAGTAGCTTCCTTGGTGTATTGAATCTGAATGAATAAAATAATTGACAAGACCAACCAAATATTCTTCTTTTGATTCTTTGGCTCAAAACCATTCTTCAGATTTAATCCTTTTAGCTTTCTTATTTTTACATCTTTGTAAAACCCCGAAACGCCATTTTCAACACACCAATCTAACTCTTAAGATTTTTCCCACAAGTTAACTTTTTAATATTTGCATATGAATTTTGAAATTTCCCATGCTAATTCCCATGGTTAGCAATTTTCTCAAACTGTTTTTTTTTTTTTTGGGATTTTCGAATATTCCTTCCTTATGCCAATCTAACCCGTCAAATAGGCGGTTTGAATTTGGAAAAAGGTCATTTTCATATTACAATCCAAATTTCGGATATGTTCATTACTAGATACTTTGTAATTAAATAATATATATATGAACAATTGAGAAAAAGGATTTATATAGTACTAACATGAGGAGTGGAATTATATAAATCTTGGTATGAAAACCCACAATAAGAAAATATACGTTATAAATTTCACAAAAGAATAAATTGTTTTGACATAATGGAAAGCAATGGACGCGATCAATCATGCTATGATATCATAGTAAAACAAACAAGAGCACAACAAATCAATTATTTTGGAACATGTATTTCCATCGAATGTTAGTTCAAGATTGGTTTATAAAGATTTTCTTACTTCCCCGAGCAATAGGGCATATAGAACCGCATCGCAAATGCCATTGTAGACCCCGATCAGATGGCCCCCATCGGGGACTTCATGGTAGTTGATCAAAGGTTGCTTCTCAAGAATGCATCTTTGAAGTTGAGCTGGAACTAGTTTGTCTTCCTTCCCATGCCAGATGTGAACAGAGCTCTCTTCACTAATGCTTATATCCGCTGGTTCGAAATCCCATTTCTCGAAACAAGCCACAAAATCGTCCCTTATAGTATCGAAGACAATTTTTAACTGTTGCTTATCCTATAGCATGGAGATTAATATGTCACCACGATTGATAATTATTTATTAAGTACTTGGACAAAAACTTTGGACCGACCTTAACCATGGGAAAACCGGTTGGTCGCTCGAGCACATCCAAGTCGTGGCTATTGAAATAGAAAGCAGCGCCTTTAATGATAGTAATAGTTGTTAAGAAGAGCATTTGAATAAGCCAATAATGTAACAGTCCAGGTGCATGTTCCGATATCCACAAACACCATTTGATAAAAACTCTCCTGTAATCTTTCTTGATAAGCTTCTCAGGAAGCGATGGCCACTGATAATTCACCGTCGGAGCAACAAAAGCCACGCCGGATAGCCTACAAAAGAAGACAGAGCAACACTCATTAAATAATTTCTTAAACTGTTCCACAGCTTATCCTTTTGGGTTTGAGGAATGCTTAACTTGCCTGTGAGGAATGTGTTTAAGGCAACCCCAAGCAGGGTAGGATCCCATGGAGATTCCAATAAGGTAAAACTTAGGTCCTATCTCCAACTGATCAGCAAGTTCTGCTATGTCATCAACTTCGCTTTTCACCGAACGTTTCGCCTTTGAATCCGATTCTCCATATCCAGAACGGTCGTGGATTAGAAAATACACCCCAAGCTCTTCTATCAGCTCCTGAAAAAAATAACAGAAATCCAACTGAGATTTTTCCCTTCTTTCTTTGTTTCAAGTATCAAGACGAGATTCTCAAAGAGCATTTTTACTTTTGAGGCAGGGAAGTTCATATTTTTGGAGCATCCAAAGCCATGAACAATAATGATCTTGTGTTTAGCTTCCTCTTTTGGAACTCCTTCTTCTACATAAGCTAAGAATCTCCCATCCCGAAGCTTCACTCTTTTCGAATTTGAACAAGAATCCCCCATCACAGTCACTACAAGAAGAGACAGATTTTAGCCCTAGCAAAAAAATTCCACACATCAAAACCAAGAGCATCACAAGTTGTAGGACAAGTACAGAAAAGAGAGAACATACCGGAATCTTGGAGGAACACGAAAAACGGTTTTTGGATGATTGGTTTCGAGTCAAAGGTCTGATATTTATGTGTACTAAAGATAATGATGATTTATATATAAAGAAGATGGCTTCTTGAAGAGAAAGCAAGGGTATGGCCTCTCCTTGGAGTATTGAATTTGAGAAGACCAACCAAAATATTATTGTCATGATTCTTTGGTTAAACCATTCTTCAAATTTAATCCATTCGCTGTCTTTACATCTTAATTAAGTTCACGCCACTGCCCAACTCATCATCAATCTCAGTCTTGTTTCTTTTACACATGCATTTGAATTCGAAAATTTCCCATCATATACAATTCCTTGAGAACATCTTTTACTTGAATCATTCCTTTATTTTCCTTTCTTTTAGGGTTTAACCAGCCATGGATCCCATCGTAAAAATG